GGGGGGAGGGAGGGAGAGGAGGAGAGGGGAAGCGAGGGAGAAGGAGAGGAAGAGGAGGAGGGAGGGAGGGAGGGAGGGAGAGAGAGGAAGAGGGAGGGAGGAAGAGGAGGACGGAGGGAAGGAGGGAGGGGTGAGATCCAGGCTTCCTCATTCAAGTTGCCTGGATGGGGAGGTGCACGGTGGACCCAGTGTCAGAGGGTGTGACAGCCCTGCTGACGCTACATGAGTCAACGGCAATTCTGCTAGTCAGGGGCAGCTCAGGGACGGCAAGTGAACCCCAGGGACCTTCCCCTGCTGCTGCCTCTGCTTCGGAAACCAGAGATCATCTAAATGGCCTTCTCAGAACCCAGCCCTTACTCAGCATCTCTGATGAGGGCAGGAAGTAAGACAGGGCATGGGAGAGACTCAGTAACAACCCAGATGTTCCAGAAAGCCTGGAGACTGATGATGTGAGTGTCCCGGGGAGCACAGGAGACGTCAGGGGCTTTCGGGGAACGTGGTGCTAAGGGGCTGGCCAGGAGCAAAGTGCCTGTTGCTGCTGCTACAGTCTCTTTTTAATGAGTTTCTCAAGTTTGCGGATGCGAGACGACTCCTGCTCTGGCGTTGGCGCCATCAGGGACAGGGAGCCGGTGCTTTCCGCCCCGGAGGGCGGTGCAGGGAGCCGCTGGCGCAGGAGTTCCAGCATGCTGCTCTGCTCGCTCCTCTTCAGCCCCTGGGGTTGAGAGAGAAGGAGAACCGTCAGGAAGGCTGGGCCAGAGAACGCAGCATTGGGTATGGGGGTCAGTGGAGACTCTGCAGACAGCAGAGTCACTCCAGGCTGAGGATGACTGCTTTCCTCAGAGAATTAATCGCCAGCCCTGGGTAGTGGCCTGGGAGGAAAACAGAGGGGAAGAAAGGGCCATGGAAGATAAAGAGGGGCTGAGAGAGAAGGGCAGGTCCAGGAGGTAGGGGAGGAAACCCTCCTGTCCTCATCCTCTGCCCTCCTCCCCTGTGCAGGGGCCTATCAATCCTCGAGAGCACACGCCCACAACCACCTCCTCCAAAGGCTTCTCCGAATCCGGTTAGCTCCGTGGAGCCAGGCAAAGCATTTTGAGAAAACCCCCCAAGAACCTATAGCCCACCCCAGTTAAGAACCAAGTGTGAGGAGGACGGCAAGCATGGGCAAATGCGGAGCCTGCACTCACCTTCATGTCCAGGATCTTCTGGAAGGTTTCCGTGTTACAGTCTGTGAGGAGTTTGATGTAGTTGTCGACGAACACCACCAGCGGCTCATGAGGGGCCATCACCACCTGCCAGGAGGATGGGCAGGCCCGTGAGGTAAGCTCACCGCAGCGCAGGGCTCGCCCTCACTGCCTGCTGAGCGCAAAATGCAGCCTGTGAGGTCTCCTTCTCATCTTCACACTCAACTAGAGCAGCGTGTCCTCAATTTGCTGAATCCCAAATATCACCTGCATGGCTTTGTAAAGCACGGGTTCCCGAGCCCTTCCTTTAAATAGTCTAATTTAGCCCTGGTGGGGTCCCAGGTGACTGTCAAAACATCAGGACCCTTTGGGAAACACTGCGTGAGAGGGTCTCCTATTAGACGTTTCACAGGTACACGGTACCCACTCCTCCTGCCCCGAAGTACTATTACTTCTGAGAAATGGGTGGCAAAAGGCACTGGTGTAAGTGGATTTCTGCAAAAACAAAAATGCCAAAGCTGCCTCACTTTTCTGAAGACTTAAAATCTGGACTTCGTGTAACTACTGAAAGTATCAATTAACACACAAAGGAAAGGAAGGGCACGGCAATCCTCACACTCGTTTCCATTTGGCTCTGGAATGCAGTATCTGACTTTCTTCCTGCATTCCCCAGACTGCCCCAAAGCGTGGCCAGTGGTTCACTCAGGAATCCTCTGCAGAGAACTCCCGGACTGCACGCTCTCCTCCACAGCCAATAACCAGCAGTGGAGGGAAATGAACAGGCTGCTTCCCATGTCCTCAGGCCACAGCTCCAGGTTCAGGCAGGATCCTCACCCGTCCCAGGTGTCTGAGGCCCTGCTGCTGCTTCCTACTCCTGCCGTCTCTGAGTCATCTGGCTTAGGAACAGATGACTGAAGAGCCTAGAGGCCCTGGGTTTTTCAGACACATCATGACAGGACCATTTGTTCTCCAGCCCTCATCCCCACTCTCCCAAATGGTGGAAATCAGAGGCAGATGCTCAGGGTTCAGACGTTCAGCACCCGAAGTACAATCCTTTGTTAAATGGGGCTTTAACAAATCCATCTGCCAATGAGATTCAGTTACTATGACATCTGTTCAGAGTTCATGTAAAGTGAAGACAGAGCACAGAAAGCCAAGAAGGCTGATGTGGAAGGGAGTAACTGAGACCCGGGCCTGGAATTCCTGCTGAGCAGCAGAGATACCTGACGTGACTGACTCACAGCGACAACGCCACCGAACTTCCAAGCTTGGCCACATCCGATTATAAGAGAATCCCATGACAACAAAAAATTCATTTGTCAGGAGGAATTACTGACCCCCAGTAACTACCCACAGACTTTCAACATCTGATGAGGCCAAAAATTCAGTCCAGCCCATGAATGTGGACAAGCTTTGAGAGCGCTGGGGACAAGACCTACCCTGTGCCTTCAAAACCAAAGCTTCTTGGAAACAGAGATGAAATAAACAACCGACCCCTTTATACAGAATCCCCGAGAAAGGCACAAGCCATCACCTTGAGGATCATCTCCGCCCGGGTCATGCCTTTGACAACGATCTTAGTGTAGCTGGCGGGCGCCTTCCTCACCACCTGAGAGCCGATGGAGGGGAGATCAAGCAGGACCATCTTCAGGGAGTGGGTGTCCAGCAGCAGCTGTGGAGCAAGGCAGAGTGTGACCGGTCCCTTACAGCCACCCAGCACCGAGCGGACCCATGCCCAGGAGTAACATTTTTCTGATTACGTGCATAATACATTCTTGTTGCAGAAAACTTGGGAAATAAACAGAAATATAAAAGAAAAAAGTTATGTATAATTCCCACCACGTACGAAAAACATCAAGAAGCCAGCTTATGTGTATGTAAGTAAAAAATACATACAATAAGCTGGTGGCCAGGAGCAGTGGCTCACACCTGTGATCCCAGCACTTTAGGAGGCCCAGGCAGCAGGCTCTGTAGGGCTCAGGGGTTTGAGGCCACCCTGGGCAACATGGAAAAACACAGAAGGCATCCAGGCGTGGTGGTGCACACCTGTAGTCTCAGCTACTGGGGCGGACTGAAGTGGGAGGGTCACTTAAGCCTGGGAGGCTGAGGCTGCAGTGAGTCAAGATGGTGCCACTGCACTCTCCAGCCTGGGTGACAGAGTGAGACCCTGTCTCAAAAACAAACCACAACCCCCGCCACGAAACTAAGTCAGAATTATACTGTATGTATACATAATTTTATAACCTGGTTTTCTCACTATGTAAAATTTGTGTATTGTGTTTTCCCATCTCTGCAGTCATGATTTTTAGCTGCACTCTAACGTGGGCCACATGGCAAGACCCTATCCTCTAAAGCAGCAGCATCGTGACTTTTAAAGGCCCTGCAGTACTCTGTGATGTGTGGCCGCGTAAACGTCAGGATCTTTCCAACCGAATGGACCCATGTACGCCTCTGCCAGCAGCGCAGACTGCACCCTTATTGACACTGAAAACTCCTAAAATCCTGCTTTTCGTTAGGCAAAAAACAGTAACTCATTATTGTTGTTTTTAATTCCTCTGGATGTTAGTGAGGATGTGGATTTACCCAAATGTAAACATTGTATCTTGGCAACAATCTACCTTTTCCTCTTTCTTTGTTCTTGTTCTCTGGGATGCCAATCATCTAGGACACCTGCAGTCCCGATGGCCCAGCACCTGCTGGGAATGACCTGAGGAAGCTTTGTCACATTCGGTCTGCATAAGGCCCTATTTGCTCTGGGGGTTATCGTTCCCATTGTACACATGAGATAAAGTTCCAGAAAAAGTTTACCAGCTCGCTAAACTCATCTCATGCAATGGGGCGGGGTTAGACAAAAGGTGGCCAGGAAGCTGAAGTCCCATTTCTGACTGCCCAGGTCAATGTCCCTGGGTGGTTTTGGCTCAGGGCTCACACTGGCCCCTGCTGCCGCTGCTCTTGGCAACCAGGGAGCAGAGAAATGGCTGAAGCCAGACGAGTGTACTCTGGCCTGCTGAGATGGCTTGGAGAATGGAACCACATGGCCACCACGAAGACAAGGGCAGGAGTGGGGCGACAGCCCCCAGTGCCCCAACTAGACTCGGTTGATGATGCTCAGACTCTTGTTCAGGACAAGGCCTGCTCCATCTGCCACTGCCTGCTTCCTCTGGAAAGCCTTCTGTAATTCCATCAAGCAGGTGAGAAATGGGATCCCTTCAGGCCCAGCCTCACTTTGCATCCTCCAATTTCCCATTTACTTTGCTTTGGACAGAAGAATTAATTACGTAGAGATTAACTACGTAAGGAGAGACACTATTAACTTAGGGGTTATGGCGATTATAATTTTGACAATAGTAGTAGTGTGTGGGGAGATGTCAGTGTTTTATTTGGAATAATTCAGATGTAAGAAATGACACTAAGGTCAGAGTAGTTTCCTGTGTTTCTGTAGCTAGTCAAAGGCCTACGTGTGCAGCTTGCTCTACTGTAGCCAGCAAAGTGCCAGGGCATTCTGGACCTTTCTAGATTTCCAGAAATGAACATTCTTCCACTCTGCTCAGAGGAAAGCGTACACAAGCCTCCTGGAGAGGGAATGGCACAGGCGGCCCAAGGCCTGCATGAAGAGCCTGGCACTGGCACACTTCCCAGAGCTCTGGTGGAAGTGACTGCTGCTCTTCCTCGGAGGAACCCAGCATGAGCCCCTCAAGAACACACATGGTCAGCCGGGCGCGGTAGCTCATGCCTGTCATCCCAGCAGTTTGGGAGGCCGAGGTGGGCAGATCACGAGTTCAGGAGACCGAGACCATCCTGGCCAACATGGTGAAACCCCGTGTATACTAAAAACACAAAAAATTAGTTGGATGTGGTGGTGCACATCCTGTAGTCCCAGCTACTAGGGAGGCTGAAGCAGGAGAACTGCTTGAACCCAGGAGGCGGGGACTGCAATGAGCCCAGATCACACCAGTGCACTACAGCCTGGCTACAGCACACTACATTTTTTGCGAGACTCCGTCTCAAAAAAAAGAAAAAAGAATACACATGCCTGATTCCAGGTGGATTAAACTCTTCGATATAAAAAGAAAAACGTTAAGAAAATACAGACCGGGCATGGTAGCTCGTGCCTATAATCCCAACACTTTGGGAGGCTGAGAGGTGGGTGGAGAGACCAGCCTGGCTAACATGGTGAGATCCTCATCTCTACTAAAAATATAAAAATTAGCTGGGTGTGGTGCTGCACACCTGTAATCCCAGCTACTCAGGAGGCTGAGGCACAAGAATCGCTTCAACCCAGGAGGTGGAGGTTGCAGTGAGCCCTGATCGTGCCATTGTACTCCAGACTGGGCAACAGAGTGAGACACTGTCTTAAAATTAAAAAAAAGATGTACAGCAAAGGTGTAAACATGTTACATATTTTGCTGAGCTGAGTGGTTAGCTAGTGTTCTATACATTATTTTCTGTACATTGATTAACTGGAATTTTTGTTTAAAGAATACCATTTGAAGCCTGACAAGGACTCAACTCTGTCTTCCATGTAACAGATTTTGAGAGCCTTGTCAAAATCAAAGCCATGTCTTAGCATTCATTTGCTGGTAGGAAAAAGAAAATCAGTCATTATATTTTAAAGCATATGGAGCTATTTCCTACTTTTTCTACTTCCCAGAGATATGCTATTTGCATAAATAATTGTATAATCTGAAGTGACAGGAGAGGTTTGAATGAACCAGACCTAATTCTCTAGTGTCCCTCACATATAGGGAGATACGACACTTGCATTCCCTGGCCAGTCACCATAAAATTCTGTCTTTACCAGACAGCTGAGAGTGAAAACCTGGATCTCAGGTTTTACGTCGAGCAATGTGGTCTAAAAAGGCAGGAACACGTCTAACAGATTTGGCAGCTGTCTGTGGGACGTGAAGGTAGAAAAGTTCCATATATCATGAAGATCTGCTAATCCTCATCTTTGAAACAGTTGGTAATTCATCTTCCTAGGCATGAGACATTGGGCAAGAGGTGGCTATTGCCAACTTCGTTTCTGCCTCAGCGATAATTTCTGGAGGGTGTGGGCTGGCTAAGGTAGTTGAAGGGATGGGGGTGCCAGCATGGCCAGTATGCTATGCCTGTGAATGCTCGTCACTCAGCAATGGAAATCTCTGAGGGGCCCTCTACTTCCTAAAGAGCCTCCCACAATTCTTGGGGACATGATGACTATCGGTAGTGATGAAAATTCTGAATAAATTAGATACAGGCCCTAGAAGACAACCATGTGAACAAAACCATATATTGAACCATACTGGCCCAACCGTATGAAGTTCTTCAGTGAGGTGGCACCGAGCAGACAGCTCAGGGTATGAGGAGGGTGGACCAAGGTGGGGACATGTTCTGCTTCTTTCAAAAATTTCGGCATGACTTTCACAGAGCACAAAAGCGCCTCATGTGCAGCTGGGCCACATCCAGATGCGGCAACGCCCTGCTGCCTAATGGAAGACAGAGGGCATCTCTGGCACCCTGAAGGCTCCCTCACCTCTCATCCAGTCGATGCACTCCTTTCCCTCCAGCAAAAGCAACCACTCTTCTGCACTCCATCACTGGAGCTTACTTTCCTGCTCATAACCTGCTGCGAACATTTGTGCACATGTCTGCTGGTAAAAAAGTCCTCGTTTCTCTGGGATGGAAGCTACTCAAGGGGAGGACTGCTGGATCACTGGGCAGGGATTGTCTGGCCAACTGCCTAGGAGTTTTCCCATGGGGCTGTGCTAACTTCCATTTCTACCAGCACCTATGAAAGTTCCAATGCTCCACATCCTTACCAGCACTTGGTATCATCACTCTTTTAAAATTATTATTATTTTTAGAGACAGGGTCTTACTCTGTCGCCTGGGCTGGAGTGCAGTGGTACAATCAGAGCTCACTGAAACCTCAAATTCCTGGGCTTAACTGATCCTCCTGTCTCCCAAGTAGCCAGGACTACAGGCATTGGCCGCCATACCTGGCTAATTTTTAAATTATTTTGTAGAGATGGTGTCTCGCTGTGTTGCCCAGGCTGATCTCAAACTGCTAGGCTCAAACAATCTTCCTGCCACAGCCTCCCAAAGTCTTGGGATTACAGGCACAAGCCACTTCACTTGGTCAAGGTATTTTAAGTACTCCAAATAACCAATCCTTTCTTTTATGGTTAGTGCTTTTAATGTTTTATTTACGGGATCTTTGCCTAACTCAAGGTCATATTCTCCACATTATCTTCCAGAAGCTTTATTGTCTTATTTTTTAGAGCCATAATCCACCTGAAATTAATTTTCTAAAATTGAAATATAATTCAAAAACCATAAAATTTACCTTTTCGAAGTGTAGAATTCACTGGTTTTTAAAGTATATTCACAAGGTTGTGCAGCTGTTAGCATTACCTGCTTCCAGACCACATCACCACCCCATAAAGAAATGCTTACCCATTTCCCCCACCCCACTCACCCTTTGCCAACCGTTAATCTGCTTTGTTTTATGAATTTGCATTTTCTGGACATTTCATAAAAGTAAAGTACATAATATGTGGCTTTTCATGTCTGGCTTCTTGCACTTAACATGGTTTCAAGGTTCATCCATGTTGTAGCATGAATGAGTATTTTATTCCTTTTAATGGCTGAATAACAGTCCCTTGTATGGATATACCACATTTTGTTTATCTGTTCATCAGCTGATGGGCATTTGAATAGTGTTGAATGGCTATTATGAATAGTGCTGCTATGAATATTTGTGTACAAGTTTTTGAGTGAACACATTTTTTTCAATTCTTTTTTTTTCTTTGAGACAGAGTCTCACTCTGTCACCCAACCTGGAGTACAGTGGTGCAATCTCACTCACTGCAACCTCTGCCTCCCAGGTTCAAGGGATTCTCCTGCCTCAGCCTCCCAGGTAGTTGGGATTACAGGCACACGCCACCATGCCCAGCTAATTTTTGTACTTTTAGTAGAAACAGGGTTTCACCATCTTGGCCAGGCTGGTCTTGAACTCCTCACCTCAGGTGATCTGCCCACCTCAGCCTCCAAAAGTGCTGGGATTACAGGTGTGAGCCGCTGCACCCAGCCTTTTTCAACTCTTTTGGGTATATATCTAGGAGTATAATTGCTGGGGCATGTGGTAACTACGTAAATGCCACAAACTCTTTTCCTAAATGGCTACACCACTTTTGCATTACCACCAGGAATGTACACATGTCCTCCTTTTACCAAATCCTCTTTGGAATTGATTTGTATACATGGTGTGTGATAAAGGTTAAGATTTTTTTTTTTTTTCCAATATGGATATCCAATTATCCAGCACTATTTACTGAAAAGACTCTTTTTCCCAAACTGAATTATGCCACTTTTGTTATAAATCAAATGTCTACATATGTGTGGGTCTATTTCTGAACTCAAATCTGTTCTGTTGGCCTACCTGTCCCTTGGGCCAGTGCACACTGCTCTAATTACAATACTATTACAATAAGTCTTGATATACTGAGCTTTACCCCCTCCAGTTCTGTTGTTTAAGATTATTTCAGCTGTTGTTTTCTGTATTTTCATCGAACTTTTAAAATCAGCTTATCAGTTCTCACACACACACACCCCCCTGCTGGGATTCCACCGTATCTGTAGATTAATAGATACCGTAATTAGGATTGAATTGCATCTATACGTTAATTTTGGAATAATTTACCACTTTTTAAATTTTTATTTATTTCTTATTGGGCAACCTCCTCAGCCAAAGTAGGCTCAGAAGACTCCACATTGATTTCTTTATGAGTCTTTCGTATCAATGAACATGAGCTATCCTGCCATTTTAAAGGTCTTTGCGGATTCCGTGTCTTAATATTGTACAGTTTTCTGTGTAGAAGACTTGTACATTTTTGACAGATTTATTCCCAGGTATTTAATGTTTCCTGATGCTACTGTAAATTATGTCATTTAAGGCTGGGAGCCATGGCTCATGCCTGTAAGCAGGATTTTGGGAGGCTTAGGAGGGTGGATTGCTTAAGGCTAAGAGTTTGAGATAAGCCTGGGTGACACAGGGAGGGAGACCCTACATCTACAGGAAAAAAAAAAAAAAAGCCAAGCATGGTAGTACATTCCTGTAGTCTCAGCTACTTGGGAAGTTGAGGCAGGAGGACTGCTTGAGCCCAGGAGTTAAGACTGCAGTGAACTGTGATTGTGCTCACAGTTATACTCACTCCAGCCTGGGCAACAGAGCAAAAAACAAACAAGTATTTCATTCAAGAGGTTCGTTTTTAAATTGTTTGCTGCTGGTATATAAAAATGTATTTTAGGCCAGCGAGGTGGCTCACGCCTGTGATCCCAACACTTTGGGAGACCGAGGTGGGTGGATCACGAAGTCAGGAGATCGAGACCATCCTGGCCAACATGGTGAGACCCCATCTCTAGTAAAAGACAAAAAAATTAGCCAGGCATGGTGGCGGATGCCTGTAGTCCCAGCTACTTGGGAGGCTACGGCAGGAGAATCACTTGAACCCAGGAAGTGAAGGTTGCAGTGAGCCGAGATCACGCCACTGAACTCCAGCCTGGTGACAGAGCAAGACTTCATCTCAAAACAAAACAAAACAAAAAAAACAAAACANAAAAAAAAAAAAAAAAAAAAAAAAAAAAAAAAAAAAAAAAAAAAAAAAAAAAAAAAAAAAAAAAAAAAAAAGAAAAGAAATATATTTTAAAATACTGACCTTATAGCCAGCAACCTTGCTGAATTTATATTCCAATAGTTTATTGGTAGATCCTTTTGGATTTATCACAATTACATTTGCCATGAAAAATGAGTTTAGTTTTCTCCTTTCTAATCTGTATATATTTTGTTTCTTTTAAAAATATTTTATTTTTTGCCTTGTTGTCCTAGCCAGGACTTCAACGACAACATGGGATAGAAACAGTGATGATGGACATTCTTGTCTTATCCCTCATCTCAAGGGAGAGAAAAGCTTTCATAGGTGACCACAGCCATAAGACTAATTAATGACCCTGTGAATCCCACAAGATTATGTGAGAATCACAGACTAGCAAGAAGCATTATAAATATCGGCATGGGTCAGTTCCTCGTGCCCTTGCAATTGCTCAAGAGGACTCTGGGGCCCAAAGATAAATAACTCACTTTATACAGCACTCAGAAGAGAATAAAGAGCAGAAAATGTTTCCTGTCCCATATTAAAGCACAACCTAAATTTAGGATCTAGCACCCTGGCGGCACGGCAGACACGGCTGAGGTTGGACAGAATCTTAGCTTCCAATGCCACGGCTCCAGTTCAGATGGCAGCCGCTCCGTGACTCAAGGCCGCGTCTGTTTCTGTCTGTGAACACTGCTGAGTTAACTGGACTCTGTTGGTTCTGCTGCCTAAGTGAACATGCCCACAGCTTCAGGGCCCAGACATCAGGGCAAACACAGGCCGGGCTAAACCTGCACTCATGTAAGAATCCCTCAGGGGCCACGCTGCCCTGCAATTCCCACCCATGACCTCCCCAGTCTGGGCCTGTCAAGATCCACACTCCCTGACTGCCCACTGGGGTCTGACTAAGTAAGCTTCAGTTCCTGCAGATGGTTTTCTCATCCACACCTCAAAATGGAAGTAAACATATGATTTGTGGTTTGTTAAAAAAAAAAATGATGGAAGTAAACACTGAATGAATTGATCTTTTTCTGAAGATATTGACTTTAGGTCTGAGTTTATTATTAAAATATTAGTTTTTTTTGCAGAGGAGATACAGTCTTCCTGTGTCACTCAGGCTTCAGTGCAGTGCCACGATCACACACTGTAACCTCCACCTCCCGGGTTCAAAGAATCCTCCAACCTCAGTCTCCTGAGCAGCTGGGATTTTAAGTGTGTACTATTACTGTGCCTAGCTAATATCTTTTTTTTTTGAGAGATGGGGATTTCGCTATGTTGCCCAGGCTGGTCTTGAACTCCTGACCTCAAGTGATCCTCCCTCATCTCAGCCTCCTGTCACTGGGATTTATTTATTTACTTACTTACTTTTTTTTTTTTTAAGATGGAGTCTTACTCTGTTGCCCTGGCTGGAGTGCAGTGCCACGATCTCAGCTCACCACAACCTCTGCCTCCCAGGTTAAAGCAATTCTGTCTCAGCCTCCTGAGTAGCTGGGACTACAGGCATGTACCACCATGCCCGGCTAATTTTTGTATTTTTAATAGAGACGGGGTTTCACCATGTTGGCCAGGCTGCTCTCAAACTCCTGACCTCAAGTGATGTACCTGCCTTGGCCTCCCAACCACGCCTGGCTAATTTTTGTATGTTTAATAGAAACGGGGTTTTACCACGTTGGCCAGGCTGGTCTGGAATTCCTGACCTCAGGTGATCTGCCCGCCCTGGCCTCCTGAAGTGCTGGGGTTACAGCGTGAGCTGCCCCCAGGCCCAGCCACCTTTACTTACTGGAGTGTGAGCACTAGGAAGCAGGGACCTTTCTGCGGTGCTTGCTGTGTTATACCTTGCACCCAGACCTTAGTAGGCATTCAAACAAAATTTTTAAAAATAAACGGAAGAATGACTTAAGAAACCTTCCAGGTCAGTCATCATACTGTCCCCAAACAGGGGGATCATCAATTTTATTCCTCCCAAGGAGATTTGGCCTAGACAGATACGTGTTTGATCTTCAACAAAAGCTGTCCGGCAAATGCCGACACCAAATCCATCTCACCTGTTCCGCTCCCACCATGCTAATCGGCTTGCACTTGAAGAGGTGGGTGATGAATTTGGGAATGAAGGAGCTGCGGATAAAAAAGAAGTGACAAATTAGGCTTATTCTCTCTCTCTCTTTTGAGACAGAGTTTCACTCTGGAGTGCAGTGGCGGGATCTCGGCTCACTGTAACCTCTGCCTCCCGAGTTCAAGTGATTCTCCTGTCTTAGCCTCCTTAGTAGCTGGGATTACAGGTGCCCACCACCATACTGGCTGATTTTTGTATTTTTAGTAGAGGTTTCACCATGTTGGCCAGGATGGTCTCGATCTCTTGATCTCGTGATCCACCTGCCTTGGCCTCCCAAAGTACTGGGATTACAGGCATCAGCTATTGCACCCAGCCAGGCCGGGCTTCCCCGACACTCCATCCTCTGTCCCCGGCCTCATCTACTGCAACCGGCCAGGCTTCCCCGATGCTCCATCCTCTGTCCCTGGCCTCATCCACTGCACCTGGCCGGGCTTCCCCGATGCTCCATCCTCTGTCCCCAGCCTCATCCTGCTAAGCCCTGGCCTCCCAGTGCTTCAACCCAACTGAGCCCCTTGAGGATCCCATGATTCTGCAGGCACAATGCTCTGTGCCTCCACTGTTCTCTCACCTGGAGTGCCTTTCCTAGAAGGGACTTGGGTCAGTACACACGCACCTCTCAGATCCCATTTAACATCTCCGGAAAGCCTTTCTTCTGTTGCCTTCGTCGTACTCTACATGGAGTCCACAGGCCTCTATCCTAACAGCTAACCCACTTCATTACACTTACTTATGTGTCTATTTTGCTTCACCTGGCTGTTAGGGCATATGAAGATGGGGCCATGTTTACCAAGCCAAAGCACTGAACTCCGGGTCTGAGACACAGGAGATGCTCAGGTAAATGTACATTGAAGAAATCGGCTGTTTTTTTTAGACAGAGTCTCACTCTGTCGCCCAGGCTGGAATGCAGTAGTGCAATCTTGGCTCACTGCAACCTCTGCCTGCCGGGTTCAAGCGATTCTCATGCCTCAGCCTCCTGAGTAGCTGGGATTATAGGCGTGTGGATACTTCACACCTGGCTTTTATATTTTTTTATTTTTATATTTTTAAATTTTCAGTAGAGCCTGTTGGCCAGGCTGGTCTCAAACTCCTGGCCTCAAGTGATCCGCTCATCTCGGCCCCACAAAGAGCCACGGCACCTGGCCATCTTCCACTGTTTGATTGTCAGCTTGGTATCAGCACTTTACCAGGAAGTTACTCTGTGACTTCTCCTTTCATCCTCCCAAGCACTATTATGAGAGCTGTCTGAATGGAGGAGAATCGGCCCAGTGGGTGAGGGAAGTTGCTTGTGGTTCAACTGCCGCTTCACCAGGCTGTGGACTCCAATGTCTCAATAGGAAAGGCGGCTGTTGCTCAAGACAGTAAACAGAGGTAAAAGCAAACACCTATGGGTTTGCATTGGTGGGATAGAAAGGAAGTTACAGGAAAGGAAATTGGGGTCCAGAGATCAGATCTGCGAGATGGCTTGCTGATCAGGAAGGAGAGCAAACAAGGACCTATTTGGAAGAGATTCTTTACTGCTGTAAACCAGAGCCAGGCAGGTAATGTGAGACTGAATCCATGACCAATTGCAACTGTCTGGTAACCTAAGTTGTTTCACATTAGAATGAGCTTTGGGCTGGGCACAGTGGCTCATGTCTATAATCCCAGCACTTTGAGAGGCCGAGGCAGGAGGACTGCTGGAGCCCAGGAGTTTGAGACCAGCCTGGTCCTACCATGATGAAATCTCATCTCTACAAAAAATACAAAAATTAGCTAGGTGTGGTGGCATGTGCCTATAATCCTGCTATTTAGGAGGCTGGGGTGGGAGAATCACCTAAGCCCAGGAGACTGGGGCTGCAGTGAACTGGGACTGCACCACTGCACTCCAGCCTTGGTAACAGAGTGAGACCCTCTATCAAAAATAAATAAATAAATAACAATAATAATAAAAGACAGCTTTGGCTGTGCCCTTGAACTGGCTCTCTCTGTACCAGTCTACAGGCAGGGGTGGGGGGAATAAAAGGAGCAGACACACATCCTTTGAGGGGAAGACCAAGCAAGGTGCTGGGTAACCGCCAAGGGCTCTTCTGCCATCAGGGGGGTGGTGGCTGTTGCCCTTGGCTAGGGAAGGGTCTCCTCACAACGCCCACCTCTGTTAAGCAGGATTTTACAAGAATGAGAAGGCACCATGGATGAAAACGCGACACCACTTTCTAGATCTCAGGCTAAGCGACTCCAGATGAGAGGATGGGCATCCAATCCCCAGTGCACTCAACCTGGACTTAGACATGGAATTCAAGGTCTCTGAGAGAATGTGAGGCTGCTGCTGCGAGGTGCTGGGAAGGGCTAAGTCAGTGGGCTCCATATTCACTTTAACAAAAGCTCAATCAGACCCCTGAGCAGCCAGCCTGGAAATTTTCAGTCACAGCACATTTTTACAGAGGTGCTGCCTCTACCAGCAGTTATGGGGAGTGTCATAGCGTGATTTATCAACAGTGCTTTTAACACACTAATGAGCATCCAGGGAGGGAGAGAATTTCAACTCCTGGTCCATCTGCCCTACTGCAAACAGGAATGCCTCCCTGCAGAGTCCACTCTATCCTTTCTTGACAAACTAGAGAGTAACGCTGACACCACAAGCCGCTCCATAATTGCTAGTCCTGAGGGGATTGTTTGTGAAGTAGATTTGGGGAAGGCAGAAATGGAGTCCCGACTCACCATCTAGGGCCTGGACGAGAACCCAAATACAGTAGCTTTGATTGGGCTGACCCTCCTGAAGCCCTTCCCGGAGAAGTTTCCCAAAATGCCTGCTTAATGACTGGTCAGGGGAGACGGTGACCCTCGACACTGCCTGCTATCACAGGAAATGGGCTACAGCCAGGTGGCAATCGGCAGAGGACCAAACTATTTCCCTCGCCTCAAAACTCAGGCCAGAAATGGCCACACACGAGGACACAGCAGGAAGACACTGGCTCAGGTGCACTCCACCCACCTTGGCCACGGCAGGAAGACACTGGCTCAGGTGCACTCCACCCACCTTGGCCACGGCAGGAAGACACTGGCTCAGATGCACTCCACCCACCTTGGCCATGGCAGGAAGACACTGACTCAGGTGCACTCCACCCACCTTGGCCATAGAGCTCCGTGACTTGCTCGTCCCAATTTCTAGTACCTTCCTTGGACCAAGCACGTGTACAACTATTAATAGATAAATTCTAGCAGCCATGATAAAAAGTACCAGGGGAGGGAGGACAAGAAGGCTGGAAAGAAACATAACTGATGGCTCCTACCCTTGAAAGGCTTATAAGCCAGCCAGAGACAAAATGCATCTATGAAATCCCTGAAAAGGCATTGTAATTATCCAAACTCGGGGAAGGGGGGTGACGCCTGCACATTTCACACAGTAGGCCCCATTCATTTCCGTGTGCCATGACCTGGCTGGGGGCTGCACTGCTATTACTGTTGCCTATGACTTTATTGGAAGATTTGGTTTTATTATGATGCTTCTTTTGCATACAAATTAAAATTAGTACTGCAGGCACCAGAATGAACCCCAGCTGGATGCTTGGGACACCCAAACTGTGGGGATGCTGGCAGGAACTATGGTTTTAAAAACAATGCAACTGAGTGTGACACTGGAGTGGTGGCCCCATGTCACCCTGTGTTTGTCCAAACCCACAGAGTGTACAGCACCAAGAATGACCGCGGTAAACCATGGAGTCTGGTGACAATGACATGTCAGTAAAGGCTTATCAGCTATAACACGTTTTGTGTGTGTGTGTGTGTCAGGGGGGTATCAGTAATGCAAGACTGTGTGTGTGTGGGGTCGCGTACTGCTGTGTGTGTGTGTGTGTGTGTGTCGGTAATGGAAGACTGTGCATGTGTGGGGTTGGGTACTGCTGTGTGTGTGTGTGTTTGTGTGAGGGTATCGGTAATGCAAGACTGTACATGTGTGGGGTCAGGCACCGCTTTGTGTGTGTGTAATGGAAGACTGTGCATGTGTGGGGTTGGGTACCCCTTTGTGTGTGTGTGTGTGTGTGGGGGCGGTATCGGTAATGGAAGACTGTGCACGTGTGGGGTCGGGCACCGCTGTGTTTGTGTGTGTGTGTGTGTGTGTGTGTGTGTGTGAAGGTATTGGTAATGGAAGACTGCATGTGTGGGGTCGGGCACCGCTGTGTGTGTGTGTGTGTGTGTGTGTGTGTGTGTGTATGTGTGAAGGTATCGGTAATGGAAGGCTGCATGTGTGGGGTTGGGCACACAGGAGATCTCTGTACTCTACCCCATTTGGCTGCGAATGCTGAAATTGTTCTAAAACATAAAGTCTATTAAAAAAAAAACCCAGAGATGAGAAGATCTCAGCACCTACTTTGCAAATTTGATGCAGAACTGAGTGAAGTACTTCCGTGTGGAAGCCAGGTTGTCACGGATGATGGGCACGTTCTGCTTGATGTGAAGGATGACAGAGGTGACGTAGGGGCTCTGGTCACCGACATGCTCCACATTCTGCCACTGCATCTGAAATGGACACAGGACAACGTGTTGGATCTTCACAAGACAGTATCACCTGTTACTGGGGAAGGGAAGGGCTGCAGTGGAAATCAGGTCACAGCTCCGTATCACAGCAATCAGACTCTTTCGAAAGTCTTGAGAATTTGTCTTATCATTCTGTAGGAACTGATACTCAGGACAAAGATGAGCGTGCCCAGCTGACCCCGACAGTGAAGTGAACCTAGGACAGAAACAAGCATGCCCAGCTGACCCTGAGAGTGAAGTACACCCAGGCCCTCTCCTTTTCCTGCCTTGTCCCCAGCACGCCTGATACAGCCCCCCTCCCCAGCAAAGCTGCCCTCCTGTGACGGATCCTGCTGCCCTGCCAAGTGCCCACCGCAGGGACTGCAGCGGAGTGGGGAGGGACCTCAACTCCTGAGCTGACCAGCAGCCTGGGAGAGCAGAGTGGTGGCTGGAGGCCGATGAGAAGCCGGAGAGGAATTAAGACACCCTTCTCTTCAGTAAACTGGGAGGAGTCCAGGATTCTTTAAAACAGAAAACTGGAAATGATACAGTATGTGGGGATGTTGCTTCAGAATCATATGACATTACTGGGAAGAGGTGTACATGAAATAAGATCATGAAGCTGAGCGACAGGTACGTGAGGCCGACCATACTGTTTCCTCTACTTTTGAATATATTTAAATATTTTCATAATAAAACATTTAAAGGGGTATGCATGTAGAATCTTACAATCCTAAAAACCTTTGAGATTGTGTCAGGATTTTAATAAAGGGAAGGCAAAGAGAATCTCTGGTAGGGTAGAAAGAGGGTAAAATGGAGACGTGGGCAACAGGACCTGAGCCGGGTGCAGGGAGAGAACATTGCTGAGGGCACCGATGTGGTCCCTGGCCAGGCAGTGAACAAAAGTGACAGAACTGCTTCAACCCAAGCACTAACCACATACTCTGAAGACACCTAAAGCGGCTGGATTCCTGGACCACGTGGCTCTAACCACAGGCTCTGCAGACACCTCAGTAAAGAGGCTGGACTCCTGGACTACGTGGAACTAACCACACACTCTGAAGTCACCTCAGTAAAGTGGCTGGATTCCTGGACCACGTGGCTCTAACCACAGACTGTGCAGATGCCTCAGTAAAGGGGCTGGATTCCTGGGCTATGCGGCGCTAACCACACACTCTGAAGACACCTCAGTAAAGTAGCTGGATTCCTGGACTTCGTGACACTAACCACACGCTCTGAAGATGCCTCAGTAAAGCAGCTGGATTTCTGGACTACGTGGCTCTAACCATACACTCTGGAAGATACCTCAGTAAAGTGGCTAAATTCCTGGCCTACTGTAGCTCTAACCACACAGTCTGCAAGACACCTCAGTAAAGCGGCTGGATTCCTGGATTACGTGGCTCTAACCACACATTCTGGAAGACACCTCAGTAAAGTGGCTGGATTCCTGGACTACGTGGCTCTAACCACATGCTCTGGAAACACTGCAGTAAAGTGGCTGGATTCCTGGACTATGTGGGTCTAACCACATGCTCTGGAGACACCTCAGTAGAGTGGCTGGATTCCTGGAATACGTGGCTCGATTCCTGGACTACGTGGCTCTAACTACATGCTCTGGAGACACCTCAGTAAAGTGGCTGGATTCTTGGACTATGTGGCTCTAACCACGTGCTCTGGAAGACACCTCAGTAAAGTGGCTGGATTCCTGGACTACGTGGCACTTGGCAGCACTGACTTGTGGGAACTTAGGCAGCAATGCTGCAGTGTGGCATCCCCCAAGGGCATGGCAGGAGGCAGGCACAGTACCAGCTCCCAGCCTGTCCCGGGACTGCAGGGAAGGGTACTCTAATCTCTAACCCCGAAGAGTGGGCACATGCTGGAGGGGTTCTGCTGAGTCAGCCTCCCACAGCAGAGCTGGATGGTCTGTTAAAAAGATCCTAAGCCAAACACAAGCCATATAATATGTTCATAGAAGGAGGTCAGTGGTTCTGAGGTCTTGCTATCTCTGGCAAGAAACCACTATTTTCATAGAGCTCTTGGGGAAAGGAAAAACTCAATACTAAGAGAACTTGTTTAAAAGAATCACACTGTACGGGGATGATTCCCTAGCCGTGAGAAGCTCAAATGACTCCTAATGTTTCTTCAAATCAGCAGATAATGTATGCTAAACGCTTAAGGGATGTGCACACACAGAACCACGGAAAAGCAGGAAGGGACCTGCATCTTCACTTCAGAGATAAGAAAACCAAGGCCCAGCGACATGAAGACTCCCATGCAACGTTTCCTAACCAGGCTCCACACAGGAAAAATAACTCTAATTTATTACCAGGAAAAAACAAACCAGGAAGAAACAGTAGAGAGGTCTACTATGTACTGACTTAATAGTCTAATGCTCTGGTTATGTGAAATGTTTTCCTCATTACCTTTTATCTTACTTAAGAGGCTTCTTTCTCCATTTGATTTGGAAGATGTGACTCATCCAATGAGCATCCTAGGTGATTTTCAATGAGCTCATCAGGTGAGGCCAAACTGGACAGGTTCCGTTAAGTCATCAGCTATTCCTCAGCTCTGCAGCAAGATTTGGAGCAGAATGTTCTGGGTAGACACTGCAAACCAGGCAGGGCTTGATGCCCCCAGCGCCAATTGACATGAAGCTCTTCCATGGTGATGACTATTACTTTCCAAGCTGGCAGCTTTGTGTATTTCATAATCTCAAAACAGCTTATAAGCAATTATCTCAACATGACAGCTCTCCATGAAAAAGGGAGGCCACAGAAAGACGCGGTGACATGCCCTGTCACCAGTTACAAAGTAGCTCAAAGCAAGACTGAGCAAAGGGCCTGGGATTTCCTCACATTCCCACTGGTTATTCCACACGTGTCACCTAAGCCCTCCTGAGAATCACTGGTTATTACACGCGTGTCACCTAACCCCTCCTGAGAATCACTGGTTATTACACACGCGCGTCATCTAACCCCTCCTGAGAATCACTGGTTATTACACACACGCGTCACCTAACCCTTCCTGAGAATCACTGGTTATTCTGCACGTGTCACCTAACCCCTCCTGAGAATCACTGGTTATTACACACGCGTCACCTAACCCCTCCTGAGAATCACTGGTTATTACACACGCGTCACCTAACCCCTCCTGAGAATCACTGGTTATTACACACGCGTCACCTAACTCCTCCTGAGAATCACTGGTTATTACACACGTGCGTCATCTAACCCCTCCTGAGAATCATGGTTATTACACACGCATCACCTAAGCCCTCCTGAGAATCACTGGTTATTACACACGCGTCACCTAACCCCTCCTGAGAATCACTGGTTATTACACACGTGTCACCTAACCCCTCCTGAGAATCATTGGTTATTACACACGCGTCACCTAACCCCTCCTGAGAATCACTGGTTATTCCATATGCCTGTCACCTAACTCCTCCTGAGAATCACTGGCCAAGTCACTATGTATCCACATTTGGAATATATGTGAAAAGAACTGATTTGCTTGAATACATTGGCCAGGCACAACTCCGCTGGTCAAGTTAAAAGAAGCAATTAGCAAAGGCTAAGTGGAGTCATGATTTTAAATTTAAGTCAGCTTAGTGAACTAAGAAAATGATTTAAGTACTAGAAAACAGTAAAAATTGACCTTGCCTGGAGTATTTTTTAAAAATGTGGCACATTCCTATAGTCTCAGCTGAGGGAGGCTGAGGCAGGAGGATCACTGGAGCCCAGAAGGTTGAGGCGGCTGGGAGTTGTGATTATACCACTGCCCTCTAGCCTCAGATGGCTAACACTTGCCAGCATCCACCACAGATGTGTAAAGGTTTGGGTCATACTCTGAATTGCCCAAGATGTCTACACTAAGGCCTAACCTCGCTGGTCACTTTACCTGGCCCTAAACATGTATCATCTCATTTATTATTCACACATGATCTCACTTAGTTCTCTCAACAACGAGATGAGGAAGTTCAAAAGCTCAAAGAAGTTAGGTATCTTGCACATTTCATAGCTGGTAACGATAGCGCTGGGACGACCAGGTCTATCTGAAGCCCAAACACCACACCAAGGTGCTTGCTGAGCGCTGGGACAACCAGGTCTATCTAAAGCCCAAACACCACACCAAGGTGCTTGCTGAGCGCTGGGACAACCAGGTCTATCTAAAGCCCAAACACCACACCAAGGTGCTTGGTAGACAACTTCCCCCTAGACCCCCCCACCCCAACACACGAAAATAATAAAATCACTTAACCAGGCCTTGGTTCAAGGGAAGCCTTGTTTCTCAAGGAGAAGCTAATGAAACATACAGTGATCAAGCAAAGGACTCTTGATATATTTTTCTGAGACAGAGTCTTACTCTGTTGCCCAGGCTGGAGTGCAGTGGTGCAATGAAAGCTCACTGCAGCTTCGACCTCTTGGGCTTCGGCGATCCTCCCAGCTCAGCCTCCCAAGTAGCTGGGACCACAGGTGTACGCTACCATGCCCAGCTAATTTAAAAACTTCTTTTTTTTTTTTACTTTTTGAAGAGATGGGACCTCACCATGTTGCCCTGACTTGTCTTAAACTCCTGGGTTCAAGCAATCCTCCTACCTCAGCCTCCCAAAGTGCTGAGATTACAAGTGTGAGTGACCACGCCTGGCCCAAAGAACTCTCAAAAAAGGAAAGAAACAGTGCTTTGCACTGGAAGAGAAACATCATGAAAAGCCATCAGAAGAAATGGGACTTCAACTCTTCTAGATGAACTTTTCATTTCACATTTAGGAGTTACCCCTCCATATTTACCATTGTTTCTTGTGCTTTTTGTTCTGGGGGCTTGGGTAGAGTTGAATACCAATGGTGTCAACTGGTACTATCTAAACAAGACCTGGTTTGAAGACAGTAATAATGATTAGGGCCTCCGAGACGCAGTCTAACCACCACAGGAAAAGGCTGCGGGGCCCAGAGTATGCCAGTGCCTTGGTTCCACAGCCTGGGCAGGAAGCATGTGTCCTGACA